ATTTTCTTCTGATTTGCAAATAAGAATAAAAATCCCGAATCAACTGCAAAGTGCTCATATTTTGCCCTGAACAGTTGAAAACAGACCTTTTCATCCTAGTTGTTACAGTTTTTCCATCTTTCAATGCAATGGTATCATTAAAAGTTCAAAATTCATTATTTAAATTTTGAACCAGCCTGGTGTGTTGACTTCATGGCTCCTATCGTACCATTTTGGGCCATAATAGGATGCCTAGGCCTGTTTTTATTTTTTTTTCGCCCGCCCGCTCCATTATTTTTCTAGAAAAATCCGTTAACCGAGAAATTAAATTGGCGTGGCCTTACAAAAAAGCCCAATAAAAATACTGTACTTAAAAAAAAGCCAAAGCCTAACCCTCTGGTTGGAGAATACCTCCTGCACACATTTTGATAACACCCTGTGTATTTCCCAGGTGCCTCCGTTATATTCTTGTCAATTAATTTGGTTCTGAAGCTATTGTCACTCCCATCTTTAAGTAATAGACGACATGGATCATGTTGTAAGTTTGCTACCTTCTCGACGAGCTCCACAACTTTCTCAAAGTGGTTGCTGCCAAACCGTGCAAGTCTTCATGGCAAGAATCTTAAGTCTAGAGACCAGGTGACACAGTTCAAATGTAGAACTGCCAGATACTGCAAAGCATATTGCCCTACCTGGTAGACCTACTCAACAACAAACGGTTAGCATCTGCAGTAAGCCAAGCACACTGTACGGTTCAAAATGTTACATTTATGTATTATATATTCTTTATCGTAAGTTGTACTTTACTTCAGCCGTTAAAGGCTGCCACTGTACAATGTAATGATAACGAGGATGTAAATAAACCATTCATTCACACTGTGTATTTCCCAGGTGCCTCCGGTCGTACGTCCCCTGACCGCCAGCCCTGCCCGGGCCCCAACTGTTCTGCCTACGGAGACTCTGTCTACAACAACCTGTGCTCCAAGTGCTACAGAGTCCTCACTGCCGCCAACTCAGGCGCTCAGACGGACCAGGACGGCAAGAAGAACTCACAAACACAGGTAACTTACTGTGATCTTTTCCTTAAATAATTTCACCGGGTCTTTACTTACAACCACGTAATTAAAATGTCCAGACTAAGCATGATGTACAAAATGACTAATAAACTGGTGAACAAGAAATAGCCTTCAAGTACCAGAGTTATCAACCGAGGATTGAGGTGTTCAAAGACTCATTCTTCCCTAGAACTATTGCAGAGTGAAACTTACTGTCACCAAGTACAGTAGGGGCATTGTCATTAGATAGCTTGAAACAATGTTTAGAGTTAGTGTTAAAATATCTCAGAGGCAAAGCAGCAGACAAACAATAGATATTAGTCAACACTGTTATTTTACATCCAAGAAGTATTATTTTCAAATCCTGGGTATGACGATGATGATGAGCATCCAAATTGTAGACTTTCAAAGTACATGTAACAAGTTATCCATCATGGTAACCATATTTCTAGTGACTAATGTCCCCCTATGGCTACTCTGCAGGACTCCTCTAGCCAGCCCAGCTCAGCTGCCCAGACATCTAGGCATCTAGTTTTTTCGACCCTTTTTGTTTTTCGCCCTCGCATTAGATTTAGGGTCTCCCGTCATCCACAAAAATTACTTGGTGTGGCCTTAAGTGCATTACAGTAACTAACGTTTCCCAAAAATAATTTCATCAGGTTGGTAGAATTTAGGAAATAGGGGAATTCTTTTTACACAGCCAGTAATTCTCACCTCGTTGACGTTTCGGTGTCTATCAGACACCTTCTTCAGAGCTTCTGACTGGAGTACTGCATCTCGCCGCTAAGTCGGCCCCTGTAATGAACCGGGACGAGGGGGGGGTACGAACTAAGCCACCGTTTGGGGTAGTAGTGGTTCTTCGCCGCAAAGACGCCACCTACATCGGCTACATATAGCGGCAAGATGCAGTACTCCAGTCAGAAGCTCTGAAGAAGGTGTCTGATGACAGACACCGAAACGTCAGCGAGGTGAGAATTACTGGTTGTGTAAAAAGAATTCCCCTATCTCCTATCTAGTAACTAACGTTCCCCCTATGGCCACTCTGCAGGATTCCTCTGGCCAGCCCAGCTCTGCTGCCCAGCAGTCGAGCTCCCAGACCTGCCCCACCTCCCCCGACAGGCAGTCCCAGTGGTCATACAACTCTCAGTCACCAGGGGGCTCTCCTGCACGGGGCCGGGGGCGCAAGAACAGCGGCGGCAGGGGACCAAGTCTCTACTACTGAACTGCCCTCAGTGTGCAGGTAAGGGCTATAACTTAAAATGTAAGTGTAAAGGATTTACTAAAAACAGTTCCCTGTGTTGTTGTTCCTAAACTATGACGCACATTTCTTTATCATTCTGAAACAGGTTATACTTGCAGATATATAAATAAAGGGTCGTCTGTGTCTTCAGTGTACAGGATTTTTAACAAAAACAGATTCCTGTGTTGTTACCTGAGACAGGGGACACATTTATTTTGTTATTCTGAAACAGGTGAGTAAGACAACATTTTAATCTTTATTATTTCATTCTCCTACACTTCACGGTAGGTAAGTTTTTACATTACTAAAATTGAACTGTGAGAATGTGATTCTGGAGATGATACATGTACGAGGAGAAAGGTTGCCGAAAAATTCCGACAACAGTTGGACCACAGCTTCCATTTTGCTTCCCCTCCAGCGTGCCCCCTGACCTCCGGCCCCTCCCCCCTGCCCTTTGACCCAGAACCCGAGCCCAGTGCTGCATCAACTGTGACCCCAGGTAGATGTAGTCGAGCGAACGCAGCCGCCGCCGCCGCCGCCTCTCGTGGGAGAAACGAAGTGCTGCAGCCGCAGAGCCGCGAGGAAGAAAGCCGTGACTTCCCGGTCGTTTCCGCCGCCAAACTGCTCCGCCTGTCGCTGGTGGAAGAGAACCTGTACCCGGGCGACTGGCGCGTGCGGCGGCGCGACCTCCAGGACCAGCTGGGCGGGATCCCCAACATCGTGGAGGTCGTGGCGGTGGACCGCAAGGAGACGGCGCCGCGGCATGGCGGGACGTGCAACGACGTCGTGTGGACCATCGTGGTGCGCTGGCGCGGCCGCCACCCCCGCCGCCTGGTCCTGCACCGCTTCCCCGGGCTCGAGTCCAACGTCTCGCTCATGCTCGCCGACTTGTAACTCAGTCTTGTTGAAGGGCATTTTTCAACCATCAGCCTACCTTTAAATCATGAACTGTTATCCTTCAACTGTCTGGACATGAATATGGCAAAATTTTTACCTTTTTGTAGAGGGGCTATTCACTCTTCAGGTCACCACCCAAACTTTTACCCTTGTCTTGTCTTTACCTGAAATGTGTCGCTCATGCTTGCTGACTTGTAACCATGTCCTGTATTTTATTTTTAGCTAGTCGTTTTTTAAGCCTTCAGCCCACCACAAAACATTTATCCTTGTCTTGACACAAATGTGGAATTTTATCTCAAACCTGTAGCTGATGCTGTAATTGTAATCATTCCTGTTAAAGGGCCAGTCGTTTCTTGCCGTCAGCTCAACACCAAAACTTTTCTTATCACCTCAAATGTATCACTGATGCTGACTGACTCTTAGCACAACTTTTACCCTTGTCTGGGCCCAAATGGGGCGACTATGTCTAACATGCGTCATTTTGCCTCTGCGATCAACCATCTGAATGTCTTAAATGAGACTGTACCACAAGAATTTTTATGTCGTCTATGAGGAAATGCCCCCCCTTTTTTTATCGATTTTTAAATATTCTCATGCCAAGTGTAATAGACCACCAAGTGTTATCGTAATGTCTTGTTTCAAAGCAACCTGTTCAAAAATTGCTGTGCAATATGTCAGACTGTGTTTTTTTTAATACCGAAAGTCAGAGTCTTTAAATTTTTTGTGTTCCTTGCATGGTTTTTGCTGATTTTATTTGTCATGTCATTTCATATTATTCTGTTATGAGTTACCTGCATGTTATAAATGCATGCAAGCATGTTCCTGTAACATTGTGCAATGTAGACTAGTGTAATGCCATTTCATGTAGTGCCATGCAAATGTAGTGCCATGTAGTCTAGTGTCATTCAATGTAGTGCCCTGTACTTAAAATGCCATTTCATGTAGTCTAGTGCCATGTAGAAGTAGTGAAGTGTCATTCAATGTAGTGTCATATAATATAGTGCCATCCAATGTAGTCCAGTTTAGTGTCATGTAGTTAAGTGCCATCATGTTGTGCTTTGCTGTCAACAGCATGTGTAAAAAGTGCTTCAGTTTTGTAATGTACCAATGTGGCATGCTAACATTTTAATTAAGATGTTTGTGCTACCAGTGGGTATGTACAAATCGTTTCTGTAAGTTTCACAACATGTGTTCATGTTGCCCACTTTGTTGCATTTTTCAGGGCTTGTTTTTGTTGTTGCTAACTGTTGACATCGTCTTCCATGATTATTCCACCTGTGCCAATCATCCAAACCAATGTAGAACCATTATGAGACAAAGACCAAACATTTTTCTCATACGCACAAAAAAATGAAGAAGAAAAAAATCAGTGTCAGTGTTACAAGGTTCCAAAGTACTCCTCAAGTCTCTCTTAAAAGCCTACTACTATCTGGTAACACTTGATTATGCCATTGTAAGCTGTTCATGATGGATACAACAGTTATGTTTGTTGTCACACTGTTTGTTATGTGTAATGTATTTAAAAAAAGTCATTGGAAGTTTTAACTTTTTGTTGCAAAGATGTCGCTGTGCAAAAAAACACAGAAAAAGAAGTATTTTTCGTACCCAGATGAAACCGTGCCAATAAACGTGTCTACTTTTCCATAAAGTTTTGTTATTTTCCTGTTTTTTTTTTGTCATACTGATATTAAAAGAATGTCCAAAATTAAATAAGAAGCGGATGCTCTGCTTTCACCAAGAACTTGTTTTGCACTTACATAATAGCCTAGTTCTGAAGGTGCGACAAAGGTGCCAGAAAGATCCTATAACACAGCATATGCCAACCTGGGGTCGTGTGGCGCAATGGCAGCATGCACGACTCTGAAACAAGAGGTCCCGGGTTCGAGTCCTGCCATGCCACCGACCTTGTGCCCTTGGGAAAGGTACTTTCCCCACTAGACTCAAATGAAAATGAGTATTTTCTGTCCAGTATACGTTTCTATGTGTGGGACACAACACCTGTCCAGCAACAGCTGCCTCTGCTCTGCGTGTATTGCATTGTTGCAATTTCAATAAAATAAAAATAAAAAACAAAAATAATAAATAACTTAGAGCAACGCAGAGGTAGCACTATTTGTGTGGTAGATTCTGCAGAAACCCTGTGTATTCTATTTATCTCATACCAGTATCGAAGGTTATTGCATCTCAGGTATGACATATATAATTTAACCGTATAACCCTGTATGAAGGAGATCTTTTGGATAAGAACATCAGCAGGTCAGGTTCAAGTTTGAAGGTTGCCATCAACAATACCAGCACCAGTACTCTAAAGAGGAGCACACACATGTACATTGAAAGTTTGCTGAAGCAATAATCACCTCATCACAGACCAAGAAATACAGACTTGAAGACAAATGGGAGAATGATGTTCGCAGATTCGGAATCTTTTTAAGCTTTTGTACATAAGCATGGACTCAGACAATTTAGGTGACCACTGTACCGTCTGGAAAGTGTGAATGTGGCTACCTTTCTACATAAAATCTGTCTCAGACACCCAACACACAGAACTAACAGTGTTCTTACCAGCCTCGTGGTACCTAGGGTTGCCCCTCCACCACCCCAGTGTTGTGCCTTTGGGAAAGGCACTTTACACCTATTTTCCTCACTCCACTCGGGTGAAAATGAGTACCTAGGTTCTGAAAGGACGTACAGCGGAGGTCCCGTGTTTAAAGAGAACCACACCTAAAGCATGTTAAAGATCCCACCAGATCTTCACAGAGCTGTTCAAACCTCACAGTCCAGTCTCAGGGTTGACACCTTGAAAAGACATCTTGATAATCACCTGTTAATATGTAAATCCTTTCACAAATTTGCTGAATAACAATAGGTAAAAGTCAGACCACCCCCCCTCCTCCTCCGTTAGAACCCTGTACGGAACACCCACATTGAATGTTATCGGGTATGTCACAACCCAACTTACTAGCTAGAATCACATGGGCCGTAACACCCGTCTCGAACATTAGGCCACACCGCTATAGTTTTATGGATGACATCCTCTGAAGACCCCCAAACTAGTGCGCGCGGGCGAATAAAAAAAATTCCGGCCAAAAATAAAAATGCTACTAAAGCACAGGAATGCAAAGCTCAGGTATTGTGAATTTGCGGCAGTACATAGCGACGTATACGACAAGCCGGCACATGCTGTTTTTTTTTTTTGCGGAATTTCTGAATCGGCACTGTATACGTATGTACTGAGTTCTTGAGTCGCGGAGGTTCAGTAATTTGAGCTGGGTGCCACCCTCCAGGGTTACCACCGGCTCCGTATTGTCATTAACTACCATGGACTACCCAGAGCCAGGCCAGAGCCTCGGAGGGCGTGATCTTTTTTTTTTTTTTTGAGAACAGGCAAAAATCAATGCGCGCGCGGATGTCATCCATAAAATTAAGTCGGTGTGGCCTTATCAGGGCCTAGGAATGTCATAAACCAAGTTATCACATGGTTGAAAACACCTGTCTCGAATGATATCAGGGCCCAGGTACAACATATACATGTATACATGTATGTCATAACCCAAGGTATCACACCAGCTGGAACGCCCATATTGTACAAAATGACTAATAAACTGGTGGAGGTACCAACCACTGAGTATCTGATACCAGCCCAGAAAAGAACAAGAAACAGTCATGCCTTCAAGTATCAGAGTTATCGACCAAGAATTGAGGTATTCAAAAACTCGTATTTCCCCAGAACTCGTTGCCACCAAGCACAGTTGGGGCATCATCACTAGAAAGCTTTAAACAACTCCTGCAATCAAATGTGCAAAGATTGAGTGTAACAAGCCGTTCGGTGTGATATAGCTAGCTGCCGCCGCGCCGCGTGCCTGCAAAGCTGGTGTGTTACGCCGAAGGGCGGTTATACCGGCTATACAGATACAGATACAGATGCTCCCAACACGCAGACCTAACCCCCTGTCCTTGTCCTCCTCAGGTGTTCAGTTCCAACTGGACTGGATGTCGGCCCTGCCAACCATCATTACACACATCCCCCCAAAAACACGTACAAGTTGGAATTAAAATATGCTGACAATTACAGTCCGGCTCCTTTTAAAAACAATTTTTTTTTTTTAACGGTGTCGCTCAATGCAAGGCCATTTGGCCACTTCTAGGCATAGAGCTAGCCTGTAACTGTAACAGCAACAGCAAAATTACCAACAAGACAGCTGTTTGCTCAAAGGATTGACAAGAATAAAGGTTACATTTATAGAATAACATAACGTAACGTAACGTTTATTTCCGCTGGTTTGATGGTAGTGTAATGAGACCTATCCCTTGCCCTTCTTGCCTTCCTCACGTGTTCAGTTCCAACTGGACTGGATGTTGGCACGGCAGTGTCTGCGCCTCTCTTATATGAGACGTTCTCTCTGGCCAATTGGACACTGCCTGGACAAGTTGATACTCTATTTTTTGCCGACCATAGGATCTGCTTGGAAATTAATGCTACTTACATTACGGGTTTTGAGCAGGTGCAGTACGTTCTGACGATGTGCTCCTATCATCATCATCATCATCGGTCGACCGTATTGGTTGGGTTGTACCGCCCCTTACGAGGTGACGTACCCGTTTGTTAGCTTAAAATAAGATGGGCACACAGACCTAACCCCCTGTCCTTCCTGCTGTCCTCAGGTGTTCAGTTCCAACTGGACTGGATGTCGGCACCGCAGTGTCTGCGCCTCTCTTATATGAGACGTTCTGCCGAACTGCTATGCCACATACATTACGGGTTTTGAGCAGGTGCATAACGTTCTGCCAACGACACACAGACCTAACCCCCTTTCCTTGGCGCCATGTTGAGTCGCGTCGGTGGCGCAACCGTTAGAGCGTTGGACTGGTTCAATAGGTCCTGGGTTTGATACTTACCGTTGCCCGATGTTGTGCCCTTGAGAAAGGCACTTTATACGACTTCCCCACTTGTACAATGAAGTGACGCCCACTGAGCCTCTGTCAAACTGTGTGCCAAAAACACACTAGGATTTGGAGCGCCAATGTGCCAACATCTGCACATTTGCCACCAAGAGCCGTAAAAATGTTTTTGTTGCCCTCCTCAGGTGTTCAGTTCCAACTGGACTGGATGTCTGCGCCCCAGTGTCTGCGCCTGTCCAACTACAACACCACCATCACACACATGCCCAACCGTGGCCACCAACCCTTTGGTCCGCACCACGTGCTCGCCGACATCTCCGTCAACAGCGGCCGCATCTACTGGGAGGTGTGTGTTTGTTTGTTTGTTTGTTTGTTTATTTCAGGAACCTCCAATTAGTGACAATTCAATTACTGTTTCTTCTTCTCCAAACAAATAAGGTCAATGACCTGAACCAGACGTCTGTCACCATGGTAACTGGTGTTGGGTTACATAATGGTGCAAGTGCCATGCAGAACTGAGTTCAAGAGAGGCTGCATGGTCACCATATATATGAAATGTGTTTGAGTAAGAATGAACAAAGCAGTAGTTTGTTAAGCTGGACAATGTGAAGGTAAATATGATGCATTCACTTTGCAAAATGTTACCTTTCTAGTTTTAAGTGTTTTTGTCCGATTCCAGGTGTTCGTTGGAAACAGCCGGGGCTTCCGTGTCGGTGTGACGTACGACCGAGACTACCCAGCCAGGGAGTTCCTCGGTGGGAACAACTACTCCTGGGCACTGAGGTACGGAAATTTCTGTAATATTGCTTCATCGCCTCAGCCTTCGGCTGCGACTCTTTGCAGAGCATAGGGGTGTGGGACCCATCTCCATTTCTGTAGCCCTTGAGCCACACACAGTTTTGCAAGCACTACAGCAGGGGGCTAGCCCACTCGTAGTGTTTTGTGTTTGACCTTCCCATACTGTTTGTCATAGATGCTGAGTGCTAAGCAGAGAAAGCAGTATGTACCATTTTTAAAGTCTTTGGTTTGACCCGACCGGGTTTTGAACTCATGACCTAATTATTGTACCGGTAGTGAAACTGGACTGGATGTCTGCCCCGAAGTGGGCCTCTCTTATACGAAATGTTCTGCCGAAGTACTATGCCACAATCATACATTATCGCTTCATCAATGGAGCCTTCGGGCTGCAACTGTTGTGATGTAGTTGATCATTATTGTCTTACTATTGCTTATTATCAATACATAGTTGATGCCATAAGAAACCATTCTACTACGTAGGTACGACTACATGTGCACGCTGGACGTGGTGATCCACTTCCAGGCCATCCACTGTAAATAAAAGACTAAATCTCGGTTGTGTAAAGATTAGTCTCTTTACTCAGTGACTTACCAACCTGATAAAACTATTCACACAACCTGATAAAACTATTCATAATTTGCATTATCTTGTCTTGACTTGTCTGACTGTTGTTCCTTTTTCGACTTCCAAAAAACTTGTCTTCACTTATTTGCACATCAATCAATAGTTCGTGCTTATATAAACCTGCCATTCTCCTGCAGTCTGTTAGTGTCACTGACGAAACGTAGTGGAAGCTACCTAAAACATCAGTGACTGTTTCCAAAATCATATCCAGTTGCTTGCTGTTTTTTTGGCATGTCTTATTACCTGGATGTCTAACCTTCACCGATACATTCCACCAGGTACGACTACATGTGCACGCTGGACGGTGTGATCCGCTTCCAGGCCATCCATGACTGCCGCGAGGTGGTTGTCGAGGTCGACACGCTGCCCCGCTCGCTGGGCGTCCTGCTCGACTACGACCGGGGCCGCCTCTCCTGCTACAACGTCGGCCGCGGACACATCTTCACGTTCTTCTGCAGCTTCCGCGAGCCCATCGTCCCCGCCTTCGACGTGTGGAAGGGCTCCATCAACATCCGCACCGGACTCCCGCCCAACTCCCTGTAGTGTAGGGGGTCGCTGGCGCCGAGGTCGTGTGTGTGTGTGTGTCCCATCAACAGTTCGGCACCGGACTCCGCC